AAATGCCATGAAAATAATAATTGAATGACTTTTAATGACCTGCAGAAACCTGATTTAATAGATAAGATCATAATAAGAACAACCAGCCGAGCCGCTGCAAGAAAATAAGGAAAGCAGAAGGAAAAGATATCAGCCCAGTTTCCCTGGCAGGACGACCAGCGGCATCAGAGAAACTGATTGACACCGACTGATGATCGACCTGTTCCTCGTTTTATACTATAAACATCATTTAGACCTAATCAGATTTTTTTAAATAAGTCGTTTTGTTGTCCACAGCTCTAATAATAATAATACTCTCCGATTAGGAGTTTTACTAAACTCTGCATACGATGCGTCTCTTTTCCATCACTCTGATGGGATGGCTGCGGTTGGGTTTTTAGTAAAACATTTTTTTACCAGACGAATCCCATAAAACGAGGAGTCGATTCTCACCTCTTATGAAACGCCGCCAGCAGCCTCGGGTCCAGAATGTTCTCCTCAGGCTCCCAGCTGTTATGCCTTAAAAAAAGAGAAATGAGCTTCAGTCCTGATAGAAACGGCTGATTTATTCTAAACACGTTTCAATTGAATAAAAACTGATCATTAAAGCTTCTGGGAGGGAATCAGTGTTCATATCCTAGATCTAAATGATCCAGAGACAGACTGAAAAATATACGGATCTAGACACTAAAATGCAGGAAGATTAAATCAGGGCTGAAACTATTAATCTGATTAATCGTTTATTGAAATCATCGTTAACTGGAGTATAGAGACTCTAAAAAGTCTTTAGCTGACAGAGCGACTCACTTAGAGCAGGAATTATATCAAGATTATAAAAAAGATTTAAACATTTTGCATTTCAGATTTAAATAAAAAAAAAAAAAAAAACTTTTCTCCAGTGACTATCCGTCTCTATCCAGAACTCCACAGGTGGAAAAGTTTTAGTTTCATCTGGTTTAATTTCGTGAAAAAATCTTTGGCTATCTGATTATTAATCAATGAATCAAAAAAATAAACAGATTCATCAATTTCCAAAATAATCGTTAGTTAAAAAAGGAAAATGACAAGAAAGAAAAACAACAGCTGCTAAAAAAAGCCTCAAACCAGAAGAAAAGAGCAGAGAGATCAACCGGTCTGCTCCGCCTGGTCCAGGTCTGTAAACGGGTAAGGGTCCAGGTCTGTAAACGGGTTCGGGTCCAGGTCTGTAAACGGGTTCGGGTCCAGGTCTGTAAACGGGTTCGGGTCCAGGTCTGTAAACAGGTTCGGTCAGGTTTGGGTCCAGGTCTGTTTAAACAGGTTCCAACAGTTTCAGGTCCAGGTCTGTAAACAGCTTCGGGTCCAGGTCTGTTTTGGTTCCAGGTCTGTAAACAGGTTCAGTCCAGGTCTGTGAACAGGTTCGGACAGGTGCTGGTCCAGGTCTGTAAACAGACTCGGGTCCAGGTCTGTTTTGGTTCCAGGTCTGTAAACAGACTCGGGTCCAGGTCTGTTTTGGTTCCAGGTCTGTAAACAGGTTCGGTCAGGTTTGGGTCG